TCATGACACCATCCCGTATTACATATTTAACTAATTTTACCACCAAGAGCAGCTTTCTTATTCTGTTGAAATCCTTTATCTACATCTTTTGTTGTTCCAATTCCACGTTTATAACGCCCACCAACTATATTTCGTGCTATAAGAACTCCTTTCTCTGCAGATTTTAAATATAATTTAAAATGTTTTTTATGATTTTTTTTTTTTGACACACCCATTTTGATAACAATACGCCACTTCAGTTAAAGCTATAAAGGAACCTTCATTGACAAGTTTAGAATAGACATATGTCTTTTTCTTATCCTTTCCAACGCTTATGAAATTTAGCATTTTTGTAAGAGATATGGTTCCAACTTCTTTGTTGATATTGAATAGTTTCATTAAGTATGGGGCAGCTATACTGAAGATTTTAATTGCCATTTGGTTATCAGTAACAATCCCAATACCATTCATGGAAAAAAATCCTATCTTGCTAGTGAACCAAGAACATGATGAATGGCTAATCATTCATATATACAACTTCAACCAAATTCTTATTATATTCTATAATAAACTTTTTGCCCATAATTGTGTGAATACTTTGAAAATGCTTTTTAAAGAATGTGCCCCAATGTAAATTCTTCTCTCTTTAGTATCAATACCTTCGCATGCATAAAATCACTTCTCTATTTTGCTAAATTATATCTTGTAAACCATTTTGTATAAATCCCTCACAAATCAAGTTGTTGACGAACGATACAATATTTTTCAAAAATTATGAAATAATTTTCCGTCATTCTTGTGAAATGTCTACTGTTGCCGTTTTTATAATATTGATATACATTTTTCATCTAAATAAATAAATTTTTAGCATATGTAAGTGAGTGCACGAATGGATAAAGTCAAAGTGTTATTTGCCTAAAAATCATTTTCAGATGATAACATAAAACTTACTAAATTAAAACTTGCAAAATTCATTTTTTTACAGTTTTTTATAAATTACAATCATTTTAAAAAAAGAAATTATATTATTTGTCATCAATTTTTACATTATGCAGTCTTCTGTTTATAATTATACTTGTTTTATTTATTATGAAAAATAAACAAGTGCTAAGATGATCTTCTCACACTTCTCATATGAATTTCATAGAAAGAAACTTAATCAATTTGTAATGGCTGATTTTTATGATGGTTGATTAATAATTTTTTATCTGCAAATCAAATTTATTAATTTAAT